AGGCCCTGCCGATGCATCGCGCGTGTCGTACGGAAACGCCGCCGCCGCCGTCGCAGCACCACCACCAACGTTCCATGCCGAAGGTGGGTTTGGCGGCGGCGGCATTGCACACGGAGGACTCGGTGGGCAGGGCGGCCGAGGCGGCGAAGGAGGCCGAGGTGGTTAAGGCGGCACGGGCGGACGGGGCAGCGCCCACGCATCGGCATCCACCCCAATATACCCTTTGTTAATGTGCTGTGTCTTCACTCCGTCACCGTTCCCACGTCACGGGAGAAATTGCCGGAATTAGAACCAAGTCTTCGTTCAGGGCCTAAATGGGACCTAGTTAAGCCGCATACTATAAACTTAGTTGCGCTCTCACGAACCTGACACATCCGCACGACTAGGTATAGCATTCAATTGAATCCGCCAGAACCTCTTATATTTCCCCAAGAATACATCTATCATGATACAAAGCCTAAGCGAGGCTTCCTCGCCAACGCTCTCAATGCCAGTGCATTAGTGTAATTAAATCAAAAGAAGTCAAGTCGCCACCCGTGTATGCCGTAATTGGTATTTGGTGATAATGATGGGAATAATAATAACGATAATGCTCTAGTCGTCATGCCCGATGAGTCGCCTGTAGTTGTTTGATTGCTTGCAAAATGTGCACCACATCTCAAAACCCAAACACCAGCCGCTACGGGAACAAAACATGCATCTCATGCTAGTACCCATTCGCTCCCTCTCTTGATAAACTTGTCCAGCAACATACCGAGGTCTGTCAAGACAAACCTGCAAATGAAAAAGCCAAAAAACTCAGCAGAATGTCGAGTGCAAAGTTCAAGCCCCACCTGCGTCTTGTCCGCATGCCGCAGTCCTGGATCATCAACCTGCCGCGCAATTTGATCTGCCGAAAGGTGTCAGTCTTCAACTAGTTCAGGTCGTCATCAAGAGGTCCATGGCAAAACGTCCTTACCAATAGCTTGCGCTGCATCAAACAGACGAGCGAGCGAGCTCATGTAATGCGCGTTAGGGCCGACGAATTGGACCTGACTGAGGTCACGCTTCGGAGGCCGGCTTGTAGGCTGCGGTGTCATGGGCAGTGTTGGCATCGTTGCGGATTCCTTATTCCCTTCTCCTCCGCTCATCCGGCTGTTGTAAGCTCCACTCAGACCCATGTTGGAGTTCTTGGATCGAAGTCGTCTCCAGGAGAAGGACGATGACTTGCCGGACACGCTTGCAGTCCGCGGCACAGGCGGTGCTCCATCCCCTTCGACAACATTCGAGGCCTCTTTGAACAACACCCCTGAGCCCTGCACGCCTACCTCGTTTCCGAGTTTGCGGCTAAGCGCTGTTTGCACCTGTTCCAAGACACCTTCCAATGACTGCATTTCGTCTAATACGGCATCCGCATCGCATGTGTCTACCTTGGCAAGTTTTAGGAGGGCCGCTGTGAGGTAGTCACAATTTGAAATCTTGTCCTCCACATTCTTGAGCTTAGCGCCCTTCACTTTCCAAACGTCGCGAGGAACAAACAGCTTCGTGCTCAGGTAGCCTCCTCGTGGGTGCGCCAATGTCTGATACAGACAGCGCATTAGCCAAAACGGCCGCAGCATTACATCATTTGGACAGGGTTCAAGGGCCACGGGAGGATCCAGGACCATCGGGTTGGGCGAACCAGGGGTAGCTGGCAAGTGAATGTTGTCCTCAAAGAGATACAAGCTCCCCGGCGAAACCAAGTCCATTTGCTCGCGTAGAGACACTGCAAGTGGGCCGGGAATCGCCGGCATGGCAGGGGTCCTAGCACTCCCAAAGTGATTGCTTGAAGGGGTCCCGGGGGACATGTCGGATGCGTCATCAAGATTAGAAAACGACATGTTGCGACTCTTCAAACTGCGCAAGCTCGAAGAGGAAAAATTCTTCCGAAGCCTGCTTACAGTCGGTGAGCCAGACCGAGCTGCAATGTTTTCATCAACATCTACCTGGCCGCGTTGGTGCGGTGGCGACCCAAGCATCTTGGGCTCAATCGCCGGTACTTCTGGACTAGGCGGTGTGAGCTTTCTGGCCGATCGACTGGTCTGAGGTCTGTCCGCGACAGTTACTTCAGGGCGGATGTCGGGCGCCGAGATAGGCTTCACTTGTGACAAGTCTTCAAAGCTGGTAGCAGTTGGCGGTCGGAGCTGCGTCGTCTGGATCTTTAGCTGCTTCGGGTTTTGACCGGACAACCTACGATTACGAACTGTCTGCCCGGGAGATTGTGCTCGAGTCAAAGGCAGCTCAGGCAATGATTGCTTCGGCGGTGGCGCGGAAGGTTGCAGACTCTTGGGGACCGGATGCGATGGCAGTACGGTCGATCTGTCGACAGTGGCAGCCAACGATCGTGTGTTTGGTACTTTAGTCTTCTCCTTTTCCTTCACCCAGCCTCGTGGGTCTTGACCGCGAGATTTTCCTGGATGTTGGGTGGTGCTCAGATTCTGTTCTTCGTTCATCATAAAATCTTCAATGTTATAGTCGCGGGTCATTTCTTCCAAAAGTCGTTCTTCCTCGTCTGAAGACAAATCTTCATAAAACCCTCCGGACATCCCCTTACTCGGCTTTCCAGCTGGTTGGCCTTGGTACTCCTCTGGGTACGCTTCTCGCTCCGTTTGTCTGACACGCTCTCGAGCAGCCTCAACCTTCCGGAGCGCCTTTGTCACAATCTCTTCGGTGCGGTCAATGCTATCGTACTTGGGCGATTCCATAGGTTCGTATCCATCATCGTATGCAGCTTCAATGGCTGCATCCAAGGCAGTGTCGAACTCCGCCTCTGTGTTGCCGCTGATGCTGCGAATATGACCTGGACGAAACACGGACGAGCCTCTCGAGTGTAGAGATGAAGTTCTTCCGGTCGATCCACCTGACTCGTCAATAGGATCTAACCAAGAATTTTGACTTGCATTTCTATGATGCCCAGCACCACCGTCCCTCGAGCCCCTCCATGATCCGGAGTGGTAAGACTCAGTGCCTCGATCGTTTGGGTCATAGCGATCATGTTGAGGCCTCGCTGGTGATACAGGTTGACGTGCTGCCAACGGCTGTAGCGTGCGATTCGGCTCCGTGGTATATTCATCCGCGGCTCGAAGTCTCGCCGGAGAACGTGGGGAGCGTGAGAAAGCCGAGTGTAGTGAAGGTTGCTCTGCTGTCAGCCTCGCTAGTCGTGACGTTTCTTGAGAGCTGTCACTAGGGTATCTTGCGTCTTGTTGACGTTGCTGCACCTGCTGATTGTCATCTTCTACATTGGCATGTGTCGACCCATTTGTAGTTGCTATTTCCGACGTAACATCGGGGTCGTCTGCACTGCCTGGTCGAGCTGGCAATTCCTTGTTTTTTGCGGCCTGCCATGGGGCCATTTGATCTAACTCATCAATACGTCCAGCATATGTTCGTCGCTACAGATGTCAGGTCAGCTCGCCTATTTATAAAAGATGGTCACAATTCCTGCACTCACAATCGCCTCTAACTTATTCTTGTCTTCATCCGCAGTTGTCTTGAGTAGCACATGTTGTAGAAGCTCGCATGCTTCAGCATAGGATTCTCTGGCTCCTTCGAAATTCTGCGCATTGTCCAGCTGGACAGCCGTGTTTGCCTTTTGCAATGCCCGTGACAACATTGCCTTTTGAGACGGCGGTTTTGCTGTGCGAGGCTTGGCTAGATCTACGCTACGTTTTCCATTTCGACTCCGCGAGTGACCGCGCGTAGAGGGGGGATACGGCTCCCTGATGGTTTCGTATGGCATCTTGGGCAAGGAATCAGAGGAAGCAGCGGATTCGGGTTTCGCTGGTGAGTTTCCAATGATATCAATGTCGCTCGCCTCACCGCCGGGTGAAACTTCCAAACTTGATGATCGGGCTTGAAGTGTCTCGTCGAGCGGGCCCAGAGGTAGGATAGGCGGTAGAGTTAGCACGGGCAGCTCGATTTTGGAGCTGAAAGCCCCTAGCTCCGTCTTGGTGTCGTAGTCGGGCTCGTTGGGTGGTGTTACCGGGAGGGTATTCAGGCGGGAGGAATAATCGTGGTCCAGAGGGGAGTCTTCACCGGGGGAATACACTGGGGTCAAAGTCGATGTTGTCGTTGCTGCAGCCGCTACAGAAGGCCGCGGCGGCAGCAACGACGATACTCGTGGCAGTCGCGCCGGAGAGGCGGCTGGCTGCGACAACTTTCGATATCGTGGAGGGCTGGCGCCGGGAAGTGGTCGATGCACGGACGGATCCAGCGTGGTGAGGGTGGGTTGTTGAAGAGATGCAGCGACTGCAAGGGCAGCAGCAGATAAGGCGCGGTGAGATTCTAGCTCGGCAGTCTCGGTAAAGATGTGCTCTTTGTGCATGCTCCTTTAACATACGCAATGCTGAGGGTGAGGAGGCATCAACCACACGACAGTGGTAGTTTGAAACTCGGCGGTTCTTCTGTGGCTGGCGAGAGGCAGTCTCGAGTTGTCTACCAAGTCCTCCGTACCTAGGTAGGTATACGGCAATATTCAGCGAGAAGCCGAAATTGTTGTCGATTAGATATGAGGCGAATCGGTGCCGCCGACGGAACTATTCCATATCACTCATTGTTCGGACAGATAAGGTACAGGCTGAGACAGGCGGTGGTTCGAAAGGCTGTGACGCAGTTCATGCAACCGACTCGACGACTCGCGGGTGATGAAGCGTGGGGAGCGAGTGCAATTGAGGAGCGGTACCTGAATGTTTGACGGCAGGGGACCAAGGACTTGGAGAGTCAAGGCTTCAAGCAAGCATAACTCGTCCCTAGGTCATAACGGCGTCGCGCTGATTCTCTGGGCCGGCTGGGCAACAGGATCCGGGATCAATGGATGTTTCGTGCCAATGCATGAATCTTGGGAAACGGGGGACGAGGTCAAAAGGAGTCGAGTAACTTGGCGGGAGCGGAGACCAGCCAGATCAAGACAAAGTGGAGGCGAGGAGTGACAAAATGGCGAAGCCACAACGTGACAACGTGACAACGTGACAACGTGACAACGTGACTCGACCCAGGGATAGGGACTCGGGCAGCAAAGAACCCGGCTAGCCGGGGTTCAGGGGGGAACTTGACTTGACACTTTACACTCAGACTTCGGACTTTAGACGTTCAAGTGTTACGTTGGAGAGGCAGACATCCAAAGTGAAAGGGGCGGGCTGGAAGGGCGACCTTATTCTGCTTGGCTACGCAAGGGACCAGTTGACCCAATTAGTTGGTTCCAATGCTTAACCTTGACGCCAGGGACAGGTTGGCGCCAAGCGGCCGCCCCTGTCTCCGTCCTTCAGTTCATCGTACAATGTCCAGAGCTCGGCCACTGACGCCGCGAGATGTGCAGATGGCGCTCCATTCATCTCTAGTCAGGGCCAGTCAGATCCAGGCAGGTTCCGGTTTTGGTTTTCGGCCGCTCGTGGTCCCAGTTCCAGGGGTTCGATGTCTTGATTTGATGGCGGACCAGGAAATGTGGAGTCCGGATACAGACGGTACGTACGGAGTACTCGGACGTTGGCTTAGGCCAATGCTCAGGTCGTTCACCATTTTCAGTTTGCCATCCTACGCCTCATGTCGGCCAGCCTGGTGAGTCTCGACGGCCTACTACTAGCCTAGTAGGCACTTACCTACCTACTTAGGTATCTAGGTAGGAGATAGGTAGGTAGATGCTTGAGTAACTTTGCATCTGGACGGGCCCCGTTCGGCTTCAGTGCTAATTAGAAGCCTTCCGATGCTGCCATGATCGAGGTGTGCATGGACCAGCCCATGATGGCACTGACCAACCACCGTGCAATTCGGGCTCGAGCCCCATAATTTCCTTCAATTCACACACTACTCCATACCGAGGACCATTGACCTCGCAACTCGAAGTTTGTCGCAAAGCTTCTGATACGCGTTGCTTGACGCCAAACAGACGTCATGGCCAGCATTGATGATATTTTCAAGGTATATCGACTTGACCCTATCCTCTCTGTCCTCGTCTCTTTTATATCAATACTAAAACGCTGCAGAAGTCTGGAGTACCCAGCAAAAGGAAACTCGAAGCCATCAAAGATCCAAGTCAGTCCCGCAACATCACCACTATCTGGCTTCAGTCTCCTCTAGCTAACCAGTGGCGCCCGCACAGATGAAATCTACAAATCCAGCAAACTCAGCGCCAATAGTTCAAACCGCCGCGCCCATGTCCAAGACCAACCCAACGACGATGACGAAGCCGGCCCACAGCCTGGCGACGACCATGATTTCGGGCCCTCCATGCCGCCAGACGATGAAGACGAAGATGGAGATGATGAGGAAGGTCGCTTCTTCGGCGGTGGTATAAGCAAACAAGAATCACAAATTCTCGATTTTGTCGACGAGGCAGGCGAGGCGGACCAGGCCCCAGACAAGATTGACGCGACATGGTTGCGCAAGACGGTCCTAAACTTTGAAAAGCACATTACCAAGAACGCCGAGCTGCGAGCGAAATACGAGAGCGATCCCCAAAAGTTCATAAGCAGCGAAGCCGATCTAGACGCCGCTATCAAGGGTCTTTCCATCCTATCGGAGCATCCAGAGCTGTACCCAGACTTTGTAAAGTTGGGCTCCGTCAACAGTTTAGTAGGCCTGCTAGCCCATGAAAACACAGACATTGCCATTGATTCCATAGAAATTATCGGCGAATTAACCGACGAGGATGTGTCAGCCGAAGATGAGCAATGGAATGCCCTAGTGGACGCATTAATCGAGGCAGACCTCGTGGGACTCCTCGTCTCCAACTTTTCACGACTCAACGAAGACGATGAAGCGGACCGCAACGGCGTTTACTACGCTCTCGGAATAATCGAAAACCTCTGCTCCCGAGCCGCTACAGCCACTCGAGTATGTCAAGACGACAGTCTACTAAAGTGGCTACTGCAACGAGTCCAGCGCAAAGAATCTCTCGTGACCCAAAACAAGCAATATGCAGCTGAAATCCTCGCCATTCTAGCTCAAGCATCCCCGGAAAACTGCCTACAACTCTCTAACCTTGACACAATCGACAAGCTCCTGCAGCTAGTCGCTACTTACCGAAGGCGAGACCCGGACAAGGGTGGCGAGGAGGAGGAATTCATGGAGAACCTCTTTGAAGCATTAACGTGTCTCGTCGACCAGCCCTCCGGCAAAACCAAATTCCTGGATGCAGAAGGCGTAGAACTATGTTTAATCATGCTGAAAGATGGGAAAATGAGCAAGGCACCGGCACTACGGCTACTGGACCACGCGGCGGGGGGTGCAACCGGTGCCGAAGTGTGTCTGAAGATTGTAGAAGCGGGTGGTCTCAAGGGCATATTCACATTATTCAACAAAACTCAGGATCATCGGCTGTTGGGTCATCTGATAAGTCTATTTGCATCCATGTTGCGCTTATTACCCGCTTCCTCGGCCGAGAGGATACGCACATTGGCCAAGTTTGTGGAGAAGGACTATGAAAAGACGAGCAAAATGGTCAGATTACACAGAGAGTATTTCTCACGAGTGAAGAGGGCAGAGGAAGAGTTCGCGCGGCAAGACGCACCAAGTGAGGAAGAGGCCGAGATTGGGCTGCTCTCGCAGAGACTAGACGCCGGCCTGCACACCCTGCAGCAGATTGACGTCGCGCTCGCATGGCTAGTGGCAGAAGACACGGGCGCATCCAAAAAAATCAAGCAGCTCCTAGCCGAGCGAGACGAAGACCTCTCCGCCCTCGCGAGCGTCCTATCCGAACAGCAGCGCGGGCTCGACACCTCGGAAGATGATAGCAAGGATCTCAGCGAGATGCTGGGCACGCTCATACAATTCCTGCAGTAGAACCAACGGCACCAACCAGTAATGTAAAAAAAAATAAATAAATGTATTTCCACGCACGTATCTATGCTGTGCACGCGAGCCCGTCCAGGCCATCTCGTTTACCATGTACACCGTCTCACTGCCATTGAATCCATACAAGCCAACATGACGTAACAAATACACAAACGCACTACTCCTTCTCTGGCGCCACGGGCTTCACGTCAAACACCGCGCTAAGGAGGTTCTTCACCACGCCCGCCTGTCCCTTCGACCCGGCCTCCCTGATAATCTGGATCTCCTTGTCGGCCACCTTGGACGCCTCCTCCTCAGCCTGCTGGTTTCCCCTGCTGTGCTGCGCACCCCCCGGTCTGTCAGCTTTCTCGCGCTCCTCCCAGCCAGGATTAAGAAAAAAACGTACTTCGGCCTCGAATTTCTTAAACTCCTCCTCTTTGGAAGCTTTGTAATCTGCAATCTCCTTCTTCGCTTCGTCACGAGCCTCGCGGATGCGCTTGGTGCGGACTAACCCATCGTTTAATACCCCGTCCGGTCGTGCCCACGGCTGCTACTCACATTCTCGTGCTGCGACGGTCAGCAAAGCGCTTCAGTATCTCCCCGGTATATGGGCCGACTTGCCTTTTTGCACAATCTTGGATGCTTCCCGCTCAGCCTACATAGATTAGCACTGCATCTTGGATGAGCAGGAGGGCAGGCCGTACATCGAGGAGCGTCTGGATGCCTGCAGAGTTCTGGGCAGACTGGACCACAGGTTAGCGTCGTCGGGGAATTCAGAGCCATCAAGCTACGGACCATGGTGGGCGATTTTTTTTCTGAGCAGCAACGGCGGGATTGCAGAGAGTTGCGATGGGTTGGGGAATTGGACAGCGAAGATGGAGGTGAGGTGCTGGAAGCAGGTGAGGTAATCGGCGTGCTACACCAGACGTCTTGCCCGCAGCTCACCCCGGCCCCCGTGCCCCACCATGGCTGCAGGACTCAAGCTGGCCGACATCTGGAGCTTTGTCTAGCCTTCACTTTACTCGACGGCAAAGTGCATTTGACAAAAAACACACAGGCCGCCATGTCGCGCGCATCCAAGCTCACCTTGGCGGGGACATCGCTGTTCGCCGCCTGCACCATCGTCTTCGTGCACTTCCAGCAAAAGTGGGAGAAGGAGGTTCGGTCCGCTGGCTCATGTCGTGCGCTGAAAACTAAGGCTGACTTCGTATAGGCAATGCACGAAGGGGTCGTCCGCGACATGGAACAGCAGCGCATCAAGCGTGAGCGACAGCTCGACTTCGACATGCAAAGGGCCCTCGAGGCAGAGTACAAGCAGCACCAGACGGTGCGTGACTCGACGGCTGAAATGGATGCCAAGGACGCGCCGCCGAGATGATACCACATGGATGCGTATGCCTGGAAAATTAAAATCAGAAATCGAGATGCGGACGGATAGATTCGGGCGAGCCGAGGGGAGATAGAACCACTACTCTGTATGACATGTACTATAACTTGCGTCATTTTTTTGTAAATTTTGCATATTCATGTTATCCTATGTTGGTACAGCCTCTGCTGCGGGAGCAGTACAAATGCATCTGATAAAAAATCTAACTCAACTTCAATGCGTTGGCAAAAGGGGTGTGCAGCTATGTCATCATAATACATTGATCCCTTTTTCCCCTAATTCAATCAACTCCCCGAACAGAAACCATTCAACACCAGGCGCTCAAGCTGCGTAGGCCGGTTGACCACACACCAGTTTCCTCTAGTTCTCTTTTTCCTTTTCTTCTTTCCTCTTCTCCGTTTCACCAATCTTACATAAACATCTAGTATGTCAATCTTTATTCCGCTTATCGGATAGATGCGCCGGACCTATTGGTGAACATTCTTGCTGCAATGTTCATGGATTGAAGTTCTTGGAACAACAGCTTGGCAGCATAGGGAATGTGGATCTGGGCAATCTTGGTCTTGTTCTTGCAAGGTCGGCATTCGAACGATTGCTTTGAAAGGTTTCTACGTACATGTTAGCAAAATTCATCCTCACTCTGGCACGTTAAGCGGGATACTCACGCAATGGGTGTCATCAGCCCGCAAATCTCACAAATGTGGACTCGGAAGGCATCTGACACTTCGAACAGTCGCTCCTTCAGGAAGGCAGCTGCACCATGAGCAATCATGCAATCGCGTTCCATTTCTCCGAATCGGAGGCCGCCATCTCTGGCACGACCCTCCACGGGCTGCCGTGTCATGATTTGCACAGGCCCACGAGCACGCGCGTGGATCTTGTCATCCACCATGTGACGGAGTCGCTGGTAATACGTAGGCCCAAAGAACACCTGTGCTCTCAGCTTCTTGCCGGTATGGCCGTTGTACATGATTTCAAATCCTCTGGACTGGTAACCGTGTTTGCGTAGCAGCTCAGACACAGAGTCCACTGTCACATCAGTGAATGGTGTGGCATCACCCTCCATACCTTCCAATGTCGACACCTTACTCAACAGACACTCGATCAAGTGAGCAATTGTCATTCGAGATGGAATGGCGTGCGGGTTGATAATGATGTCTGGCGTCACACCCTCCCGTGTGAATGGCATGTCCTCCTGTCGGTAGGTGACACCAATAGTTCCCTTTTGACCGTGACGAGAGGCAAACTTGTCGCCAATTTGTGGGATCTTTGTTGTTCGGACACGAACCTTGACGTACTTGACATTGTCGGCATTAACTGTGAGGATGACCGAGTCCACAATGCCGTTCTCCGTGCTTCTCAGCGGTGTGGAGATATCACGTCTTTGATGGACGCTGGTTCTGGTTCCCAGATCTTGGCTCTCTTGGTCAATGGGCGCCGTCTTGCCAATAATGATGTCCTCTCCGGATACCCTCACGCCGGGTGCAACAATACCATCGTCGTCTAGTTTGTCATATGTTCCGTGCTTCATACGGAGAGTGCTCTGATGGAATGGTTTTTCGAATACTTCAGTGTAGTTCAAGCCAACTTTCTTTTCTTGATCAGAGTACGAACGGAAAAACAGACTTCGGAACAGGCCTCTGTCGATACTGCTCTGATTCATAATAACAGAATCCTCCTGGTTGTAACCCGAGTAACAGGCAATAGCGACGATGGCATTTTGGCCAGCAGGCAACTCACGGAACTTGAGAAATTCCATGGATCGAGTGGTGGCCAGTGGTTTCTGGGGATAGTAGAGAATGTTTGCCATGGTGTCCATACGGCGAGAGTAATTGGTGAGGAAGAAACCCATGGCTTGTTTACCCATGGCGGATTGATAGGTGTTACGAGGTGACTAAACAAGCATGTTAGTAGAGCATAAGACAATTCTTCTTGACAAAGACGGCTTACCTGATTGTGATCGGGGAATGGAATAATACTAGCGCAAATACCAAGAATCATACTGGGGTGAATTTCACAATGCGTATACATGTGAGTTGTGGGGTTGGTCTTGGTCTTGAGACGCTTATTCAGGTCATCTCCAATGTCATCATCAAGAGCAACACCGGCTTTCTGCAGACGGTATAGCTCGAGATCTTCTGGCGTCATGCAGATCATTGCTGTCTCTTCTTCTTCAGCATCAAGATACTCGACGGCGCCGGCGCGAATCAGTCCTTCCCAGCCAATTTTCTCGCTTGGGTCTTCAGGCGGTTCAGCTTGTTCTTTCGCAAGCTTGTTAACCAAGTCTTTGGTCAAAACCAGATGGCCTTTTTCAATGCCAGTCTCGGGATCGTCTTCTTGCTGCACAGTGAACACTGGTCTCATAACTCGGCCAGCATCGGAGAAAATCTTGAACTCTTGATCCCTGATTTCTCGGACGAGAGACACCTCGTACTGCAAATACGACTTTCGTCTAGTATCCAAGACTTGACTGACCAGGTGCTTAGGATCTTGGTGTACACCAACCCAAACACCATTGACAAAGATCTTGGTGGCATGAGGATATCTCAGCGGCTCGTACTCTTCTACCACTTCCATGCCACGGTTGATCATGAATTCAATCAATGGCTCGGCCGGTGAACCCACACTGACATAACACATCAATGACAGGTTCTTGACCAGACCGCAAGCCTGACCTTCTGGCGTCTCGGCGGGACAGACCAAGCCCCAGTGCGTGTTGTGCAGCTGACGAGGTTTAGCGAGCTTACCATCTCTACCAATAGGTGTGTTGGTTCGTCGCAAGTGAGAGAGTGTCGAAGCAAAAGTATACCTATTCAACACTTGGGACACGCCGGCAGTGGAACTCATGGCCTTCTTCTGATCTCCCCAGTTGCCAGTGGCAAGGGAATATTTCAACCCGTTGGAAAGTGTTCCAGGCTTGATACCAACTGCCAAGTTGAAATGCCGGTTACCCTCAACGCATCTTCGCAGATAATTTGACAATTCCGTATTCATCCTGCGAATGATGCCACGGAAGAGCTTAGCCAAAAGGGGACCAGCCAGGTCCAAACGCTTCTTGCCAAAGTGATCACGGTCATCGGGCTCACGTCGTCCAAGAGCGCATTGGAGGAGCTTATGAACCATGTAGCCCAGGAAGAAGGCTTTTCTCGTCTCGCTACCTTCAGTTTGGGAGATGTGAGGAAGCGTCTCCTTCTGCAAAATGTCCTTGGCAACGCGAACACGTTTGTCTCTGCCTAAGCCGGCCTGATCTCGGTTACCTCGCTTGCCGATGAAGTCGAGAGCGACTTCTCTGTCCTGGACACAGAAGGCCTCTTCGATGCATGGTCGAAGCATCTCGAGCATCTGGCTGTCCTTTCTGTCGTAACAGATGTGGTTGAGAATGTCCTCATCGGATACAACACCTAAGGCACGGAACACGATGGCAATTGGCAGATCGGATTTGACAAAGGGAAGAGTTGTGTGAATGGTCTGGCCAAAGCCACCACGAGCAGAGTCGCCCTTGCCGTATAGCTTAAGTGTCAAGCTCGAAATAAGACGTGAGCCCTTCTCCAACGCACTTCTGATTTCAGCAGTGTACGTGTACGGGCTAGGCTGAGCCTTCTTGAAAACCTGGACGATGTTGGCGGCGGAGCGTTCCTGAGCAATAAGGACCTTTTCGCTGCCATTGATGACAAAGTAACCACCCTGGTCGTAGGGGCATTCATTGACCATGAACAGGCTGTCCTCCTGCTCGCGACTCAAGTGGCAAATCTTGGATTTGACCATGATGGGAAGTTTTCCAACAAACACCATGTTCTTCCAGTCCTCAGACTTGCCAGTGTCATCGTCCTCGGCGGATTCCTCCACTTCCCAGACAAGTTTTGTAGGCATTTCACCAGTCCTCTTGAGCTCCTCACGTTGAGCGTCATCCAATTCTTTGAGGGGTATATCTTGCTCAACAGCCCTAGATACCTTCTTCGTAATATTGATGTAGAGCGGACTTGCATAAGTCAAGTTTCGGTCACGACATTCGTACGGCAGCAGCGACGTTACAGTTCCGTCGGTTTCGCTGATGGTCGGACGTGACACCATGACGGTTCCGAATTTGATCTCATATCGACGAAGGGCAACCTTTTCTCCTGCGGCTGATGGAGGGTTCGGTTGGTCGAGTGTGATGGTGGAATATTCGTTGACAAGGTCCTGTATCGTCGTCTGTGTAAACTCGTCGAAGGAATCAGTCTGCTGCGAGACAAGGCCTTTGGTATCAAAAAAGGACGAGATGACGGTCCAGCAGTCCTCGGGGGTGATGCCCTCATCGTCGTCGTCGCCATCATAAGGCGTATAGTCGTAATCTTCGTCGTAGTCCGCCATATTGCTGGCAGAGGACCTACGTCTAATCTCTTGAGGCTCGAAGCTGGTTTGGCCGGCTATCACAATGTCCGAGCTTGGTGTTCGAGGCGCGGTGGTCGGTTCTACCTAACTCTTGAGGTCGAATCAGGTCAAAGGACTTTGAGCTGAAGTTGCAAACCAGATCGGAGTCGGGGTCAGTGCTAGACCTGGCGCCTCTGGCACCGCGCGTGCAGCTTGGAGCGCAATCCAGCAGATTAGCGGCGCGCAGTATTGTTATTGCGTACAGGCTAGGGAGGAGCAGCTGATGATCGCAATGCTGGAGGCGTGGTTGACGTGTTGTTGATGATGTGAATAAAGCATCCAAAAGTTTAGCCGCCACCAACAGAAGTGCTCTTTTGCCTTCTTCACGCGCCTGCGCAGGAGGCAATGACGCTAGACCCAAAGTGTTCAGGGACCACTTTAAAGATTACTAAGGCCACACAGTAAGGTGAACGAGTCTGATCGTGCCCGCCCCACAATTTGGTTGTTCATCAATCGAAGCTCTCACCACCCACCTTTTTAGTGTGTGAAGGGAGGCAAGGCTGACGAAATAGCAATTGCATTGAACTGTCTTGGCCGAACTAACAACAAGGCTGACAAGCCGGGAATGTGCGATGCTGTGGGCATCGCGCGAGGCTGAACCCTCATCACGTGACCACCCTCAACATAGTGAGCCAAGTACGGAGTAGTTCATTCTAGATACTAGAGACTAGAGTAGAATGAAGTCTGGTGCAATCTAGTCTGGTCATAGTTAAATAAATTAGTTCTATTATCAGAGGGAACCACTGCGAGCCAAGATGCCCTTTGGTTTCTGGGAAATATGGGAGTGCATTCTACCTAAGTTATAGTTGAATCAATCAGCTCTATGGTCAAGCAAAGACGCGACATCTGCAAGCTTGATCAGGGTCTGGTCAGTAGCTCATGGCTCGTGCGCGGCGCCCTACGATACACCTACCCTGCACGGGGTAGATTACCGCGCCGGGGACTCTGAAGACGGTGAAGAAATTAATCAATCAATGAATAGATTATTCTTGTCACATGAGAGCTGGAACAGTTGCGGGTGGCTACGAGTAACTACTTCCCTCCCCTTTTGGCTACACCAGGCAATGCTGGAGTTTACTGTGGAACTGACATGGAGATGTATCACGCCTACAGTTGAACCCGGGGGCCGGCAGCACGTCTCGGTCCCAACTTTTCGACAACAACAAAGCAAAGTGTACGAAATTGGCAAAGGAATATTACTGAAGCTTGTCATAATACGAAATTATTAATCTACTCGGAATTCCCGCGTGGCTGTTGCATCATGATGCCCACCAGAATTGCACGCCAGGCCGTCGTTTCAGGCAGGCGTTGTTGTATATAAACGACTCAACGGCGGGGGAAGTCCATGTCCACAAGTTTTCTTATAAATATTTCGAACTATCATTTGTCCCAAATGAATCACTCTTTTGCCCTTTTCCTATTGTTTCCAATTCTTATTGCCGCTACAAACATGGTACCCGATGAAGTCTTGCTCCATGGTTGGACCGCTGTCCCCGTGGACGCTGGCCAGCTCTTCGACGGCAACGTTTACAAGAATACACCAACTCCGCTCAAGGTGGATTGCATCACGTTTCCTTCTGATGACCCTATTGTGGTCAAGGCCCAAGAGTATGCAAAGAACAAGCTGGCTCCCGAAACATTTAACCACTCCATGAGGGTGTACTATTACGGTAAGTAACCAAGCATACATCATCAACATGCTTGACCTTGCTTCACAACCCTTACAACGCAATACCATATAGTTACTAACATGAACAACCATTAGCAACTGCTATTATCCGTCAACAGTTTCCCGAGCATGTCGACACCTTCTCCCCATCGACTCTCGCCCTGACGGCCCTTCTTCACGACATTGGCACCGCCGAAGACAACATGTCCGCAACCCGTATGTCGTTTGAGTTCTATGGCGGCTTCCAAGCCCTCAGGGTCTTGCAAGACTTTGGATCTACGCAGGACCAAGCCGATGCGGTCTGCGAAGCCATCATCCGCCACCAAGACCTTGGTACCGACGGCAACATTACCTTTTTGGGACAGGTGATGCAATTGGCCACCATCTATGACAATGTCAGCGACCACCCTCACTTGCCCGACATCAAGGACCTTGTGCATGTTGTAACCAGGGAGGATGTCATTGATGCATTTCCGAGAAAGGGATGGCTTGGCTGCTTTGCGAAGACGGTGCAGAAGGAAGTTGGCCTCAAACCGTGGAGCCACACCACCCACATCCCGCAGTTTGATAAGAAGATTCTGGGGAACACGTTAATGAAGCCGTACGAGTAAACTTACCATGCGATTTGACTACTACTAGGGTATTGATTTAAATAGACTCGGTACTGGCTCTGCTGCTAGTCATTCATTCTACCCCACGTGGCTTGACTACTCTGGATATGGGGAACATGTTCCCTTGACAGCGGACTGCCTTTCATAATCCAGCTTGCATGCAAGTCTGACCGTGCAGCCACTCGGTCAACTACCGATTGAGTTCGTCGTCGGGAACAAGCGCGGCATCGGCATCAACCCTGGGTTTGCTGCCGCCCCTCCCCTCACCAGCTTCTCGAGAGTCTTTTACCCCACCGTCACACCAAGCGTCCGTTGCAAACGAAGCCTCGGCAATCATCTTATCCGACTTGACATCTTAAAGACACGGGGGCCCCTGGCTGCCCCGAGAAGAGGTGGCCCTGGATGCTGCGTATTTTCAGACGCCCTTCATCCACGGGGTACCGCAGGGTCAACACGATGGATCCGTCGGCAAGCAACGCGACCAATACAGCTCGACTGTCTACCGACTCGACCCGACCAGCTGAAGATGCCGTCTTTGACTACCTGCCGTCCTCGCAGGATGAGTATGCCGCCATAGAGAAGGAGTTGGTACGCCGAATCGACTGGACCTTGATGCCCGTCATGATTTCCATGATTGTTTTGAAGTTGGTTTCCGCGACCCAGGGTCCAAGGCTGCGCCTCCCCCACATCTCCATCTGGCTAATCGCATCGGCAGCTATCTCGATCGCAATGCATTGCCCAATGCGCGCATCCAAGGAATCGAAAACGACCTTAATCTGCGAGAGAACCAGTTCAACATCTGCATCTCCGTCCTATTCGCAGGCTATCTGACTCTCCAAATCCCTTCCAATCTCATCCTCACCAGAGTCAAGCCGAGCATCTATCTTCCCATATGCATGGCCCTCTGGGGCATCATCTCGGCATCCACAGCCGCCGTGCATGATTTCAAGGGACTCGTCATATGTCGTTTCTTTCTGGGGTTCCTCGAAGCCCCCTTCTTCCCTGGCGCACTTTTTCTGCTGTCTAGCTGGTACACGCCGCGGGAGCTGGCCACACGAACAGCAGTCATGTACACGGGGAGCTTGCTCTCCAGCGCCTTTGGCGGCCTGATTGGCGCTGGTGTGCAATATGGCCTTGATGGTGCTCGGGGCCTGCATGCATGGCAGTGGATGTTTGTCATCGAGGGCACCACGACGGTAGCAGTGTCCCTGGCATCTATTTTCATTCTTCCAGATTTCCCCGCGACCACGGCGTGGCTGTCGAACCAGCAGAAGGCAGTTGCCATTCACAGACTGCGCGTGCATAGCGGGAGCGTTGACGAAGAAAAGGGCTCCGTGCTGCGAGGCCTCAAGATGGCGCTTTTGGACTACAAGGTCTGGCTGCTGACGCTGATCGTCATTCTCAAGACGTCTGCTAGCGCCGTCACGGCCTTTATTCCCACATTGGTGGCCACATTCAAGCTTGGCAAAATCGAATCGCTGCTCATGACGGCTCCGCCGTATGTATTTGCCGCCGCCGTCGCCATGGTAGTCTCCATGTCGAGCGACAAGCTTGAGGAACGGTACTGGCACGTCGTTTGCCCGCTGGCGCTTGGCATGGTTGGCTTCATCATTGCCGCGTGTACTCATTCATTGGCGCCAAGATATTTCTCTCTGTTCCTCATGCTGGGTGGCGTATACGGATGTTTCGACATTACGTATGCCTGGTTGTCGTCCACTGTAAGCACTGTTTGCCTCCTTGTTTACTCTCTGACTTTTTTATCTGTTCAGGAACCTGCCGGCTAACCGCTTACGTTGCAGTTGCCCCGGCCTCTGGAGAAGCGCTCAGCAGCCTTCGCCATCGCTAACATGGTCGGCAACATTGCCCAGGTTTACTCGCCCTACCTATATGATAAATCAACGGGGCCACAATATCTGCCTGCCATGATTTCCAACAGCGCTTTTGTATTCGGATCCATAGTAGCTGCTACTGCGTTGCTCTTCTGCTTGAAATGCGAAAATCGGAAGCTTGACGAGGCCGAGGCCGTCATTGATGAGCAGCCGCGGCGAGATGACGATGCGCCGACGAAGAGCACCAGTATTGTGGAGTCTAGGTTTGAAGGAACTGTAAAGTTGAATAGAGGCTTTAGATACATGCTTTAGAAGACCGGACGCGACTGTATGTAAAGATTATGGATGTAAAATTGATGATCTAGGGAGGTCTCAGATAACTTTATTTAGTAGGAACTCTAAGGGCCATCCTACATAACATTATCTACGCTATCGAGCTTTGGCGGAACCGTGATGATGTTTACCATTAGTCTGAGCAACACTATACGCTAATCATTAGTTGAACATACTACGGAACTATCAATCTTGTTTTCGTTTCCTAACGGATCGCCTAATCTCTCGCCCAGCTGCACAATAGTATTTTCGTATATCCGCGCCGCATCCATGTGTAATCTCTCCTCATCAATGTCCCATGGCGTCGGGGTCTGGTTGCCACTGGCCTCCGCGGCACTTTCATCGCCATCCATATCCGTATCCTCGTCTTCATCCTCATCGTCCACCTCGCCGCTGCTCAATATCTCAACGATCAAGACCCTCGTCTGCTCCACCAAACTACGACACCGGACCATGTCGGTCGTTGTCATGCCTGAGCGAAGGCCATTCTCAAATCCGGGCAGAGTCTCATTTGTTTCCATGTCCTGGCCACGCAATAGACTGGCGAAGCAGTGGTCCAGTTTCCTCAGTAGCTCAAATGTTGCTCGCGGAGAAGGCGGGAAGGACCGCACATATTGCGTAAAGTCGCTGGCTAGTTTCAATAGAAACGGAATTTGTAAGCTCGCTACATAAGGTGATTAGTATTTATGAGCAAGGCTAAAAAGATGGGTGAAAAGTTGACACGCACGTGTTCCGGATTTCCATAGCACGTTTACTAGTCCATCGAGCTCCTTGGCGACTTCGCCAAAGGATTTGAACCCGACAACCTCATCTCCGGGACTTGGGTTGCCGAATTTCTTGACATAACGGCGTGAAATGTTTAAAAGGCGCTCTTCGACGTAACGACGGACCATGTCCTCTTTACTTGACCCCGGCCGTAGTGAGTGCCCGCGTGGGTGAGGAAGTCCGGCAATGGGCCTGGTGGAGGCTGAGGATGGAGCCGGAGACGGGAGGCCGGTCTGCCGAATAAAACCGCCGGGTTCCGGTATAGTCGACTGATCATCCATTATTGATGTGACCTTGTTGGATGAGACGTCTCTATGGAATTAAGCTGGCTGAATGGCTATGTCGAAGGCGTGACGTGAGCAGTGAGGGTTGGTGGGGTTAGGTTCAGGATGTGGTGATGGGGGATAGTTGGCAAGGGATTGACGTCGAATAATTTGCGCAGAATGCTACTCGTCAAGAATTCAATTACATACACTCGAAGAGGAATTAAGCTCTTTATATCTCGACATGTTGTCTCAATTTAAGATGCCAAAGACCATGCCTATCTTAAGTCTCGACTTGCTTGGGGATGGGGCTACTGCTGACGCCAATCATGTGATGGCAAGTGGGTCCGGGGTGGCAGTCAGTTCTGGCCCCCTTGTCACTGGCAAAGTAGCCAGCGCCCGAAATTTTTGACGAGCTTCAGCAAAATCGTCATTCCAAACAAGCGCTTTGGTCTGTCATCTACAATCCTTATCAACGCAAAACGACTTCACACACCGCCGCAGTAATCCCAATACATACAAAATGCCTGCCCCCAAGAGAGTCCTCGTCGAGAAGCCTTCATCTCGCCGTACTAATAAGGGTTTCTTCGCTTCCACATACGACACCCTGACTTCATCTGAAAACGCGGCAGTTGTTCGCAGCATTGCAATTTTTGGTGTGAGTTTAGCCTGGGAATCACTTTTGATTTCATCTTGGACTCTGACACTCGTTGCAGGCCGCCGTTACTTTCCTCGCTAGCCCCTGGGGCGAGCTGCTTCTGCCTCCGTATGCGACATCTAACTCCCTGCAATGCCTAGGCGCAATGACGAAATGCTGACAAAATTATGTGAATAGCCAGTAATTGAACGACTTAAAAACCATACCAGCTACGGAAACGAAGCGCCAAACATGAATTGGCGCTGGACGACCGACCTTTACCTGTATAATAGATGAACACGAATGTACGCTAGAGGGGTCACTTGGCATATCATTGTGAGGGAAGGGAAATAGAATTGATCTCAAGTATGGTGTGATGGATGGTGGAATTGTACATGGGCGCAGTTCGTCTTGAGATCGGGACCAAACATTAATCAATACAAATATTTCGCCTTGAAGCCCCTCCGTTGCGGACTCCGCATTGATGGTCCTGTTCCAGCCGGCGGCCCTGCGCACACAACTTGTGGAAAGAGTGAATGTCAACCGCAGTCATATGACTCCTTCCCTACATATAGGGAGGGTCACGATCTATTCGGACATACCAGGAAGGCGTCTCTCAATACTCCGGAAACACTGACAACGAACCTAGGAAAACATTGCTTTGAACCAAATTCTAGACATTTTCGCTCACTTTCAATCCACTCTGCATAAGGCATGAACGATATTCCTGGCGACAATGCCGATCCGTTCTTTGTTGCCCGCGACACAAACTCCCACGACAGATATTTCCGAGCCCCAAGACGCTGATACTATCGTAACACCCCAACTGAGGCGTCGAGTGGGAGCGGGTAGGAGGCTCGCTCATTTAGTCTCTAAGTTCGAGGGCCTGGAGAGTATGTCGTGCCCAAACAAACCGTTATCTTTGAGAGGGACAGCAAGAGCTCCGGTCACATTATCTGAAACGAGCCTCTTCGAGCCACCTCCTGCTCCCTCGTCCATACCAACTTTGGCTTTTTGTAACTCTGCGAGAAACCCACACAAAAGCCAAGACTTGCCATCCCAGGACTTAAGTGCATCAGACGACAAGGTCCAGTGTAGCTGGCAACCTGGGAGACCGGAGACTGTCGAAAAGTGCTCTTCAGTGGTTGCGGAGAGAAAAAAGATTTTTGAAGTGAACCTTGGTGCTACCAATCCTGGTTAGTAAAGTCCTTTCAAAGACACCGTCGATGAGGATTGTATTTCTTGTGAGCAGTCTCGAGGTCGCTAATAGCTAACAACACGCAGACAAGCCACATTCAACTGGCTCAACCAACGGCCCTGCTCGCAAGGGTAGCAAACTACGCTTGCCAGCTAAATGGCAAACAGTCCGAGCTCGGTCGCCGTTAGCATGCCTGGCCCAGAGTCAAGCTGCCGTCCTGTCCTGTCCGAAAATAGCAAACGTGTCGAAGCGACTGTCTGGATATCTGCCGCTGTCATCGACCTATCCATCGCTTCCAAACGCCGAGAACAGCGCAAAGCCACACCGGTTATCCGCTTGCGGTCTCCATCCCACTGAAGAGAATAAGCAATATGAAACGATTTCGTCGGTAATAGAAGCTTCTGGACTATTGCAAGCCCGAAAGTTGACAGATATGCACCCTGGCCGTCTGACTCTGAATACAAGCGAAAGCACCTCAAAAGCCCAAGAAAGGCCACCATCTCGGCCCGAAAGCCAGAAAAGCCTCATACCCAAGGACCGAGATGACAGGGCAGCGCCGCATATCGAGTCGGGCCCTACAGAGAGTTGCAAAGAAGAAGAGATGGATAAATTACCTCAGTTTGTTGGGTTCCAACCAACGCCATCAGTCAACAAGGCTAGGAGCAAGCTTCCACTTAGGCAGCATATAAAACGGAAATCGCACGAATACAAGCACGGACCTAGCCATTTGACATCTCCAGTGCTGTTACACCATGAAATGAGTGTCGAGGCTGCTGTGGCACAGTTGGAGGCAACTCCCAAACAACCTGCCTCTTCGGCTCCGTCACAAATTGAAAATACAATAGGCCTTTTCGAATCGTTGATTGCCAAGGACAAGACAAATGTAGAAAGCAAACATAGCATTCGATCCAAAGCTCGGATCCCAGCATCGGTTTCTTGTCAGGTAGCCCGTCAACCTAAGCCTGGAATAATTGAGGAGGTCAGGAGGATGTCCTCCTCCTCCTGGGGACCATCCCGATGGCGGCGGAGGTCCATCGTGCAAAATTCAGAAACTGAACAACATGCTGCTCGGAATGGGCCCAAATCAGCCAATCGACAGGGTGAGGACCGGCGCGTGCCTAATGATGGACCCATGGAAACGGTGCGTTCATCACTGTCAGGAAACTGGGAGAGCTGGACCGACAAGATCAGCAATTCGGGGAAAGAAAAGAATTCTGACAGTTCACCCCCAAGGGTTTCTAGTATTCATCACCCCGAATCAGATACACAGCAGTCACAGAACGGTCCTGCGTCTGTTGGCAGCTGTGTAAAGCAATGGGGGCAGGGGAACAAGAGCGTGCGAATTATACAGGCTGGAGAAAGGCGTCGAAGCTGGAGACTTTCGGGGCGACGGTGGACGTCTCGAAGCAATGCTCCCTTTATTGCCCGCGCTGATTGTGCATTGGAGCAACCACGACCAGTGCGAGTCAATGAGATGAAGCGACTTGCCAGTCTCTGCCGGGAAAAGATGACGGTGAGAAAGGACCGTGTGCAAACTGATTAGCAACGAACTCAACTGTAAAACAGTAGGTTTGAGTCCAAAGTCAAATACGAGGGAAGACGCGTACAGAGAACAGGGTGTTTACATATTACGGCATTGCCAAGACACATGCAGCGTAGGACCTAATTTCAACAAATATAGGAAATACCCATTGTATAGGCTAAATTGAAGTGACATCCCATATGCTGTCAACTATGCCAGGTACTCGGACACAAGGTCTTGACAGGCCCCGCCGCCCCCCCTTTTTTTTTTGCCCCTTGATGCTTGATGATATAAACAAGGGCTTCGAGACCCCATTCGAGTATCCCAGGTCCGGCGCAATATTAATCTCTAAGCAAAAGCTGTACTGTACAGAAAATAAAAAGTCTAAGCTGGTAGATGTCCATCTGTATCTACCAAAATCGTCCCTTGTCAGGGGTAAGCGAAGTCAAAGAACCCCCTAGATTCTCGTGTCATTTTGCTCCAAATCCGTGTCAATACGCACGCGGTCATTAGCCAGAGCGCTGGTAGAGTCAATCTTGATCAACTCCAGATCGAAGTGATCCAGCTTTGAAGGCCGAGCTTCCCTGCTCGGATAAGTAGAAAACAGGGACGGCGAGGGGTGAAGACTGCCCGAGCCACAAGTGGTGCTGATGCCCGAGAATCCCACTGTTGTCAAGGGAGGATTCGACTTTTCTCCCCTATTGGACGGGTTGCTTGACTTGTTGCTCCCGCCGGAAATGTAGCCCAGGCTTCCACCGGTGGTCATTCGTTGCGCGGCAAGAGTGCCGAGGGGGAGGATGATGGCGACCGAGGTCTGCGTGAGCGAGGCGGCTTCGAAGTTTTGAAAATGGCCCCATTCGAGCGCGGCAAAGACGACTACCCAAGCCTCCACGTTAGTTATTTCCTCATTTCACTTTTAAAAGTTACCCCCCCGCCCCCCTTCCTACCCCTCTTCCGCTCCAAACACCCACCCCCTGAAGCCGGAAAATAAAGAAACAAACCTGGAATAATCATCAGCACGCCGTTGGTGATGACCAGCACCTCCATCGGGCTCAGCGTCTGCGAGGACCGCAAGATGCCCCTGTTGACGGCTAGATGCAGCACGAGCTTGAGGTTGAACAGCGCGCAGTACCAGCATATGGAGAGGGCGTTGAGGATCAGGGCCGCCTGCACGACCCAGGCCAGGTCCAGGGCCGGCACGAGCTCCAGGTCGGACTTGCTCTGGACGACGGTGAAGGCGAGGCGCCACCCGGCTGCCATGAGGGAGATGACGGCCGAGAGGGCGCCGAGGCAGAGCTTGACGGCGGCTGGCCAGAGGGAAACCATGGTCCAGGCCTGGTGCATGAGCGCGGCCTGGAGGATGACGAAGAGCAGCAGGGACAAGACGTTGCCGGCGACGCTGTTGGCCAGGAAGCGGCGCGGGACGGAGGCGTAGTCGCCCGCCCAGAACTGGTAGAAGTGGTTGAGGGGCGAGACGAAGAAGGCGAGCAGCAAGGCCATGCGGACGATGCAGGCGGCGAGGCCGGCGAGGTGGAGGACGGACGAGAGGCGGCGGAGCTTGGAGGGCGGCGTCATGATGAGCACCATGACGAGCAGCGTCGCGCACGACCCGAGCTGGAAGGCGTAGTTGATGGTCACGCTGATGGTCTCGTCGTTGAAGGCGTCGATGCTGGGGATGGGGATGGAGATTGGTCTCTGAGACGCAGAGAGGAAAGTGACGGGCTGGAGGAGCGGGTTGAAGGCCATGTCGGCGGTGGTCGTGGTGGCCATGACGGGAAGTTGTTGGAGATGTTTGGGAGGAGGAGTGTTGTAGAAGATATTTTTTTTTCTTTGATATCGTAGATTTGAGCAAAGGCTACCAATGCTTGGATGTCGCTGCTGCTCGACAATGGAAGCGGCTCACTCTGGGATAATACCATGGTACAATCGCAACGAGGGCTGTTGTACAATATCAACCGGTTTGAAAGGGGGCTCTCAAATACGATTAACCCTGTCACACCGGCACCCGCCTTGCACTGACACGAAAGCATTTGCGGAAAATAACAAACAAAAAGTAAAAAAAAAAAAAAAAGTCGTTATATCGCGTATGGTTTCCAAATTCAAGCGAGATGCCCGCAGTCAAGACAAACAAGTTTCAACCGGGATATCTGGGTTCCCTTTTTCGTTTATGGGGTTACATTTTTTCTGGCACCTCGGGACGTGTACGCTTCTTCCCGCTGACGATGGCCCGGCCGGATGGTGAATCCATGTATCCCCGTAGATATTGTTCTTTGGAGTTGTGGCGCTGGTGTAGTATTGTTCTTGAGACATTGTGGGCCGGGGCGCCGGCGCCATGCAGGACCGACAAAAAATAAAAAAAAAAAAAAAAGTCGTTATATCGCGTATGGTTTCCAAATTCAAGCGAGATGCCCGCAGTCAAGACAAACAAGTTTCAACCGGGATATCTGGGTTCCCTTTTTCGTTTATGGGGTTACATTTTTTCTGGCACCTCGGGACGTGTACGCTTCTTCCCGCTGACGATGGCCCGGCCGGATGGTGAATCCATGTATCCCCGTAGATATTGTTCTTTGGAGTTGTGGCGCTGGTGTAGTATTGTTCTTGAGACATTGTGGGCCGGGGCGCCGGCGCCATGCAGGACCGGGAGGGGCGCAGGGACCGGAGATTGACGGCGGAATGGCTGCGAGGCGCGACTTGGTACAGAGATAAGAGGGACGGAGAGGCCGTTGTCAAGTCTGTATGGGCAGATCTGGGGCTTCAAGTGCCGAGACTTGTGCAGACAGCTCAGGGTGTCGCCGTAGAGAGCGCTAGCAACCAAAGATGATATTGAGCCTTCTTTTGACGAACCATGTAAATTGGCAAGTAAAAGTGGAAATTTTTCTTCTTTCTTCTCACGTTGAGGCTACATTGTTTCATCTGATTCGCCGTGATCCCACTGGAATTTTTGACGGGCTTCACACTCTTTGCTAAGACTATGCCGACGCCATGCCCATGCCTTGACCAATCTTTCTCACCAATGCCTTCTTGAGGTACCACTCTCTCGCTAATGATCGTGTCGTCTTTGCGAATACGGCTGGGGAAATACGGCCCCGTTCAACAGCCCTGCCTAGCATGAAGATGGCGTCTCCGAGAGCCTTCTCCTCCGCCACCAAATTATACAGCTGATTAGACACGATTGTCGGAGCTACGAGAAGCTCGTCGATATCAGGCACAGGGTGGCTTCTTGACCCATCAATAACCGCGTCTGCCTTCCGCAAAGCGTCGTGGAGAATGCTTGTGTTCGACGTAAGCACGTTGGATAGCTGGGTGAGCTGGCTCGATTCGGATTGAATACCAGCCATGGCATTCTGCATGGCGCTTCGCTGCCCGTGAAGCCCTGCCATGGTGGAATCATTCTGTTGTCGAGACCGTTGTCGAATAACATACAGGGTCTGGGCAATTTGTCGCAAGAGGTTGTCCTTTTCGGGATTTGGTGGTATTGGGGGAGGCACCACGGTCGTGGCCTCGGGAATGTCGAGAGTGAGTGGTTCATCAAGAATATTCGGAGGTGGAGGAGCAGGTTGCTGTACTGGAGGCTGCTGGATATGTGGCGGCATTCCTACCCCAGGAGCTACAGCATATCCAGGTGGTGGTGGCCCTAGAGCCTGCCATTGTGGTGGGAGCTGTTGAGACGGCAACTGCTGTGCCGAATACGGCGGGTTCTGAGATGAGCTATGCGGTCCATGTGGCGGCCAATGTCCCATGGGAGGTTGTGTATGCTGCTGCTGTTGCGAGAGTTGTTGCAACTGGGAGGGAGGTTGCGCATGTCGTACAATGGGCGGTGATGCTGGTGCTTGGGTGGGAAGCGGCGGTGCTGATTCATATCGGGATGGGACAGAGGACGTGCCAACAGTCCTCTCTGACGAAGGAGAGGCTGCGTGGGCGGAGGTTTGGGGTGTTTGGTCTTCTTTTGGCGGAGGCGGCGGCGGACGGGAGCCGTTTGTCGAGCTCTGAAGTGTTTGCGACGGTCGAGGTGCCATCTCCGGGGGGAGAGGGGGGACTGGAGGCGGTCCTTGAGCTGGTGGTTGCTGCGGCTGTGGTCGGGCCGCTTGTCTGGATACAACCGGGGGCTCTTTGGCAAAAATATCGGATAATACTGACATGAAGTCTTGAATATTTGATTTCTGTAAGAGTTGTTAGCTTTGGCGGACAGGCGCGAATGCGGGCAGGAATCGTTTGATCAACTCACATCCCAAAATTGTGCCCACCCCACCAGATAGGGGTGGTATACCTGCCCCTGAGGGTCAACATGTTGCCCAGGACGAACCATCATGTTCTCGGTTGGCGTGACATAGACGAGCGGTGGCTCGCGAGGGTATGCGTGAGGGACCCATATTGAAATCGGGAATCGATATGTATTGCCGCGAAAGTTGACTGGTATGGTGCCGGCGATTTGGAGTAGAAGCGCGCTGGAGCCGTTGGGGAAGGCTAGAATGCTATTAGTGATTTGAAAGTGTCTGGTCAAAACCAAAGTGGCTCACTATGTACGTCGGTGCGCGGGGAGAGCGTAGGATATTGTGTCAACGCTTGGGCGACATCATTGTATGTGCGGTTGACGTCGTGATATTCCTATGGCGTTATGTCAGAAGGATTGATCTGAACCTAGGTTGGGCATGCATACACTGGTAAGAACGCTGTACAGCCAATTGAGAACATGTTGCTGTACTGGCATTGTGGAGGTGAGGGCTACGTAACGAGCTGGAGAAGCCTCAAGCTGGAGCTCGTTGGATGCCTAGATTTGCAGTGCTCGGCCTGTCTCGAAGGGGCTCAAGTTCAACCGTGAGAAGCGGTGGCCAACCGCATCGACTTGGTGATTTTGCGACTGCCTTAAGGAGAGCAGGGCTGGGAGAGCAGCACTTGATCACACAGGTGATTCGGGAGGGTTTAGCTGCTTCGAAGTAGTGGGTTGAGAATGGAGCAACTTCTGCCGATGGTTGTGTCGAAGTCGCTGGGACAGCTACTGTTCAACGCGCTCGTTGGGGTTTGGCGATGCGGTGGTAGAGGCTCAAGTGGCCAAGGTGAGGCCAAGGTGAGGATAAGGCTAAGGTCGAGGTGAGGTCAAGGTGAGGTGTGAAGTGGGTTGACTGGTGACGCCTCTTGGCGGGGGAACGAGGACGGCATCCGATGGCCACACGGATTCCAGAGATTCTAATTGTAACCTACATGCTCAGCTACGCCCTTGAGCGCGTAAATTTAAGCTGAGCTCTATTCCCAGCTCTGTACTGCATAGTGGCATTGCATCAATTCACAATTCCCCAACCGACTTGAGGACTCGAAGTGACCGACTCTCGGGTACCTTGCCTGTGGATCCCAGTTGCTGGCTCGCCGCCATGGAAGGATTGACGTGGAACAACTCATAACTCATCCAGGAAGAACCAAGCTAATGAAGATAACTGGCAGTGACCTAGGGTTTTGGGACATAAGTATTCGACCACATGGCGGCGATGATTGACTTCAAAGCGGTCGAATACTTATGACCTCCACTATGGAAAGCCCGCCCTGACAAGTCGCACGTTTTTGTGCAGGCCTCGCGTGCAGTTGTGAAATCTGGTACTCCGAATAAGTGGCTAGCCCACTAAGTTGCTAGCGAGTAGTTATGGCGAGAACAGCTGGAGCAAAATGCAACTCAACAACCGCCCAGCCGCGACCATCAATGGTCAACCTTGAAGGGTCTGGTTTCCTTTTCAATTCTTGGCAGCCTGTTGTTAGAATACGTTGTTGGCATAACGCCTCAGCTCCACCGAAATCCAGACGTCCGGCCTCGGCATGAGTCGTATGACCCAGACATTAATAATAAACCACCCAGGTCCCATAACGACCGGGTCTTATCGATTGCGACTCTATTTTCCTTCAAACCCCTCCCCCACGCAAACTTGACAAACTCCCTGTACTCGCATCACCGTGCTATCAGACTCTCTGTTGACTCTGAAATCTTTTTTCTCTCGCCGTGCAACCGAGGCAAACTTTTTTAAGCCAAGGCCGAGGCTTCGGCCAAAGTCAGGACAGAGACAGATACTCCGACTCCATCGGCCACAACCGGAACCGCAGCCGGAACCGCAGCCGGAACCGCGACCACGACGACGACGAGCGCTTTTCCAGCCTCAACCAAAACCTCAACCTCGGCAGCAAAATGCTGCCTCCTGTCCCCGTTCTCGCCGATTACGGCCTATCTCCAATACATGGCTTCTTGCCCGAGACCCTTCCATTAACGCACCTACCTGACCCTTACTACAACAAGTGGGAGGCCATCGCGGCAAATCTCCAGGCTCTCGTCTTGTCCCGTCGCCTCCGCAGCGTCGTCGACCACTTACCCGTCCTCTCTACCATAGGCCTCGAACACGAAGCAGAATGGCGCCGTGCATATTCCCTGCTCTGCTTCATGGCCCACGCATACATCTGGGGGGGTGATGCGCCGGCCGACCGACTTCCCATGGCCATTTCTGTGCCCTTGCTCGAAATATCCGCTCATCTCGAGGTCCCTCCCGTTGCGACCTACGCCGCTGTCTGCTTGTGGAATTTCAAGCCAGTTTTCATGGATGAAGACATTGACAATATGGAAAATTTGGCCACCCTGAATACATTTACCGGATCCATCGACGAGTCATGGTTCTACCTCATCTCCGTAGCCATCGAGGCCCGCGGCGCCCCAATTCTCGATTTGATGCTCACGGCCATTGCCGCCGCAAGAAAAGACGACGCAAAGACAGTGACACGGTGCCTTATTGGCTTTGCCGAGCGGTTAACAGACTTGACAAATATCCTGGTGCGGATGCACGAGAGCTGCGACCCTACCGTCTTCTACCACCGCGTCCGCCCGTTCCTCGCGGGCAGCAAGAACATGGCCGAAGCGGGCTTGCCACACGGCGTGCTGTACGACGAGGGCACGGGGATGGAAAAGTATCGCCAATACAGCGGTGGGAGCAACGCGCAAAGCAGCCTGATCCAGTTCTTCGACATCGTCCTCGGCATCCACCACTTGCCGACCGGGGAGAAGCAGAACCCGGCATCGTCCGAATCCGAGCCCGAGGGCCGCCACGCCGCCCCCAAGAACAACTTCATCCAGGAGATGCGGCGGTACATGCCTGGCCCGCACGCGCGCTTTCTCGCCGACGTCTCACGGGTCGCCAACATTCGGGAATTCGTGCAGGACAACAAATCAAACCAGCAACTGTGCCTCGCCTACGATGCCTGTCTTGCCATGCTAAGCGCCTTCCGAGACAAGCACATTGCCATTGTCACGCGGTACATCATCACCCCCTCGAGAGAAGTCCGTGCGAGGGGCCGTTCGCAGAGCAGAAAACGCGTCAACCTCGCCGCTGCGTCGTCAAAGGCCCAGGCAAAGGGGCAGACGGGCACTGGTGGCACCGCGCTGATACCCTTCCTCAAACAGGCGAGAGACGAGACAGGCGAGCCGGCTATCGAAGAGTGGACGAGACGCTTCATGAAGAGGAAGCTCAAGGCTGAGTATCAGGCTGATCCTGTCTTTTCCAAGGCCGACAAGGGTGCTGTTGAGACGGACGTGGACGTCAAGGGACTGGCGGGCACGTGGACCATGGACGACGAAGGAGGTGGTATCTGCTCGTTCTGAAATTGCTGGCCATGAAGAACGGAGAGTTTGAAGGACTTGGGTCTACTCATTTCTAATGCGGGAGTAATATTTTTGTTTGTTTTTGCTTTTTGTCTTGAAAAAGAACGTAATCTCTTTCAACAGCGTTGTAGGTGGCAAGAAGCATGCATGATTTCAACGATTTAGACGCATATATATTTTGCATAGTATCGCTACTCAACGCAGCAATATACTATGTTCCGATATTTTTCGACTACCGTGTATGCATGTCTCGAAGCTCTGTTATGTGAAACGCTTGGCTTGCTTGGATGCAACGGTCGGGCTATTTGCATGCTGGAAACAGTTGATCCGCCAAAGGCTGGTCGTGTGCAGCCAGGAGGTATCTGGTTACAACACCGACATGGGCGTACTGCGTCCTTGGAGGAGGAGCGGCCATCGCAGTCTGGAGATAGAGTGCAGACTTGAAATGTTGCTCAAGAAACAGGAGAACTGGGGCCAAAACAGGGCATTCATTCTCTGATGAAGTGCCTCAGCCGGCAGTCTTCCCGCCCAAGGGCCTCAGAAGGCATACGGATGATGCGGAAGAACAGTCGTCACTTATTGTTTCAGCAAGTCGCTATCAATCATAGGCCCAATACCATGTTCAAGTTGTACAAGGGTATCTGGTTTGCGAGAACCGCCCCAGCAAGATAGTTCGGATAGTATCGAATAGTATATATAATACGCCCCCTAACCTAGCCCAACCCCCAGAATGCATCAGTATTGCGTAATTTTGCAATCTGTAGTAAAAAAGCGGTCTACAGTGAAGACCCGGCCCTCTCTGCGCGTCCCGCCATGTACTTTTTGCGCAAGTATATTAAAAAGCAGCATTGTTGCTAACGTCCGTGAGCTCGTAATCCCATAAACATCTCGGCTGTCTCTTTGACAGCGCCCGTTGGTCCCCCATCTCAAGTGACCTTGCCATCCTCTACGTGTAGGACAAGGTCTGCGCTGCCTATGTCTATTGGCTGATGTGAAATAGCAATGACGGTACAATCGCCGAAGACGTCGTCTATCACTTGCTTCATAACTTTGGCCGTATCAACGTCCATGGCGCTTGTGGCTTCGTCGACGAGCAGGATCCTGCTGTCGACCTCCAGCTTGTGCAGGATTGCCCGTGCAATGGCGAGCAGCTGCTTCTGGCCATGGGAGAACCCCATGTCTGCGAACGGCGTGTCGAGCCCGCCGTGGGAATCTACGTACTCTTTTAGCCTTACCCTGTCTAGGACCTCGCCGATTTCTGCATCGCGGATGTGGCTGGCTGGCCTCGTTCGGGCTATGGGGAGGACGTTGTCGCGCAGCGTTCCCGGAAGTTCCACCATGTCTTGGGGAATGGTCGTGATGAGGGATCTGAGATGCTGTCGTGGAATCCGGGACATGTCCACGCCGTCAATTTCTATTACTCCCGTGTAGTTGAGGAAGTGTAGCATGGTTAAAAGAAGGGAGCTCTTGCCGCTAAATCTGGCTGTCAGTTTCCTCTGTACTTTGACACATGTATGACTTGTTGCATAGGACATACCTCCCGGTTCGCCCGACAACTGCGACCTTTTGCCCGGGCTTGATGTCCAGCGACACATTGTCGAGAGCTGGCGACGACGCGTCTAATGAGCTTTTCAAGTGGCACCCCCCGTTAGCGTCATTGTGCACAACAGGAAGCAGGAAAACGATCAAGTCTTACTTGTATGTAGCTGTCACGCCAACCATCTTGATGGCTCCTTGTTTCAGGTAGCCAGCGGGCAGCTCTGCGCCGCCGCTGTTGACGTCTTCCTCGCCTGGCGTGGTCTCGGCAAACGACTTTATGCGTGCAATGGCGCCGAGAGACGTCTCGGTGTCGATCCACGTGTTGAGGAGAGTCAAGATGGAGTCGCCGAATTGGATGAGGGTTAGCATAGAGAGCCCCATGGCGTTTTGTGAAGTCGTGCCCCTGAAGCACAATGCGACCGACACGAGAATCGTGGCCACGCCGAGAACACACAGTTCGGACACGAGGCCGAGCCACCGCTGGATGCAAAACATGTAGTAGAATGGCTTTTGTGAGTCGTCCAGCAACTGTCGGCTGCGAGATAGGCACTGGCTGTCCCACCCGAAGCTTCGGATATGCATTAAGCCAGCGCTTATTTCGGAAAATTGGGTATAAAGAGGCGCTTTTGCCTCCAGGTCGATATATCGCATCTGCCGTGATGTTCGGAGGTAGAAGTACTGAATGATGTAGACACAGATGAGGATGAAGGGTATTATGACTGAAATGTACGTGGCGCCGGCGGCAATAATGCCAATGTCTGTGATTAACAGGAAAAAGGCTGCAAAAATAAAGAATTAGAAACATGTTTGTTTTAATGCAACGAGGAGTATGAAGCATACAATACAAGAGGCGAAAAAATGCCAGCGGTAAATCTTGGCTGATAAGACTCATATCTTGGCTGAATCTGCGCAGTATTAGGATACGTCCGTCTGACAATTGGGGAGGCTAGGATATTCTTACAAGTTGAGAAGCGATCCGTTGCTTGTAGATGATAGAAATGATAATGTAGATCTAGCAAAATGTCAGCGAGGCCGCGATACAGGATTCTGTTATATTCCGTACCCCATGACTTTGTCCAAAAGAACACGATGTAAATTTTCGGAGCTGTTCGGGACGATTTTGAGATAGTATAAGCTGTAGCAGTTTTAGTTATGAATACAGCCTGGGGGGTTGTAAATCCACGTCTTTTACCTCAGCGTTATGCCAGCGGCTGTAAAACTCGAAAATCCAAAGAGAATGTATCCAACAAGATAGACCTTGTTATCCGGCGCAACGTCCAGCCAGATTCGAAGAAAGATTTCTGACTTTCTAATTAGTTCAGCCCGACACGCCCAATATTACGAAATCGACTCACCGGGCAATCGCTCTGCGACGGCAACAAAAATCACCGTCACTAACCATATTGCCCAAAGCCATTTCGCCGTTGACTTGAGATAGAACGAGTAGAGGCCGAAATCGCCTTGTCGACGTATCAACAACTCGTTGTTCGCAGCTGTGCCGCTTTCTTTGCAAGCGTCTTGGGCCTCGTCTGTGGCCTCGTCTTTCTCCTCAGTCTCTTCGCCGGCGCTGGGCGACAACCACTCCGTCACGTCTTCCTGGCATTGCCCGACATCTCCCAACCCGGCGACAGACTTTATCGAGCCCCCATCGCCAATGACCAGCGTTTGATCAGCAGAGTTGATGTATTCGGCTGGGGAAAACAGTCAGCTTGGAGTGATGGGATGTGCACAAATCATCAGCGGGCAATACCTGAGTGAATCGTCATTACAACCGTGCTGCCAAGCCGCCTCAACAGGCCGCCAGAGGCGAAGAGCCGGGAGAATATCGCATCGGCGGTGCCGCGATCTAGGGCGCTTAATACGTTGTCCAAGACGAGGAGAGAAGCTTGCGAGTAGACAGCCCGCGCAAGGGCCTACCAAAGGGTCAAGTTAGATGGGAAAACTACACGGTACGGCCGAAAACTTACAATTCTCTGCTTCTGCCCACCACTCAAGTTGGACCCATTGTCTCCCGACAGAGTTTGATCGCCGTTGGGGAACTGCTGGATATCGTCGCCAAGGAGACACGCATCGACCACGGTTTTGTACCAGTCTTTATCGTACGCGTGGTCTCCGGTGATGTTTGCCCGGATGGGAGTATTTTTCAACCAAGGCGTCTGGTCGCAGTACGCGATTTGGTGCCTCTCGACATACACATGGCCATCCGTGAGGTATGCTTCGCCGATGATTGCCCTTAGAAACGTGGATTTGCCGCAGCCAGTGCGTCCAAGGACCACTGCAAGCTTCGAGCGCGAGACGGATACGTTGACGCTCTTCAGGAGCGGCTCTTTGCCTGCCACAGCTGCCATTGACGCGTTGACGAACATGACGGATATACATGTTTGCGGTGCCTGCAGCTCCAGCGGAGATTTGTCCATGGGCGAAACGGAATGATATGAAGCGTGCTTTTCGGATGGGTAGCCGTTGGAGAGCACAATGTCGTTCATGTTCCGGCGGCGGTCTTGCCGTTCTTCGAGCAGGAGGTAGGTTTGGATGCGCTGGAAGCACCCCAACGTCGAGACGAAGATTGGGTAGCACAGCATGGCACGCGCCATGGACAGTGATGTAATCACAACAATGGCTAGAGCTGTGAAGGTCTCCGAGGCCTTTAGGCCGCTGGAAAAGGTCGTCCAGAGAATAGCAGCAGTCATGACGATGGTTGGCGTAATCTGGTAGCATAGCATGACTGTATACAGAATCAGTATTGCCGGTCAAGACTGAAGGGGGGAGAGCAAGGAAGGACGCGAACCCGAGGCGCTCATGATTACTTCTAAAACTCGAAATCTTTTGGAGCATTGCATCTCCGTCTCTCGAAGTCCTTGGACTAGGTCGGCCACGACTGGTCCAAGGCCGATCATCTTGATGTTTTTGATTTGCTGAAGCATGCTTGAGGTGACTGAGACGCGATTCTGGACTTCCTTATTCCAGGCGATGCGTGCAGGAGCCATGCGCCTGCCAATCTCGTACGTGGCGATTGTCGAAGCTAGACGGCTGTTAATCGAGGCGGGTGAAGGGGGCACCAGCCCAGGCAAAGCTGGAGTCAATTCATGGCTTACCAATTCCGGGGAACACAATGAGAAAGGATGCCTTTCCAACGATTGTTGTGATGAGGTAAATGCCCAGCCCGACTTCGATAATGCTAGCCATGATGTCGTGGAATTTGCGAAGCCCGAGAGAAATTCCTTCCACATCGGTGCTCATCAACGTTGCAGCGGCGAGTTCTCTCGCATGGGACTGGTCGATGGCGAGCGTCTTCTTGAAAATTTCGGATACGAGGACGCCGCGAAGGAGAGTAACTAGCCGGTTATTCAGGTGATTATAGCTGGCGCTTGTAACCTATGCTCCCCATGAGTTCCTTTGTCCAGTGGCCGAGGCTCGGATGGTGGGAAGAACGTACCGCCAGTCCAAAGTAGATGAGAACCGTGGCGCCAATGAGGCCGTTTCTGACATTGGTTGACTGGTCACTCTCGCCTAGAAAGCCAACTATACGCCGCAGCAGCAGTGGCTGGCTGAATGTGAAGGCAGTGTAAAGAAGTCGCGGAACAATGACTGCGAGAAACGGACGGAGCAGTGTCACAAGAGCCGACTTCACCAATGCGTAGGACGAGTGCTTATCTGCTCCGGACGGTCAGCATACCAGCCCAGCGGACAAAAGGAAGCGCAATTGGTACATTTTGCCCAGACGGGCTCGAACTCGGCGGAGACATGTTCGGCGGAAAAGTCGTCTCCCAACGACCCCAAATCATCAATGCGCAGGATGCTCCGAAACCCCAAGAGAAAGGTCGAGTTTAACCACAGAAACAGGGACCGGTTCCAGAAGCCGCTCGTGGCCTCCTTGCTCAGCGATCTCCGAAGAGCAGGGTCCTTGATGTGCGTCCTCTTGGAGAATTCCTGCAGCAGCACCAGGGCCAGCTTGGCGGCGGCGGCGGCGGCCGAGAGGCCCCCGACGGCATGGAGATGCGGCCGGAGGAAGAAGGACCGGGCCTTGACGACGTCGAGCAGCGCCGTCAAGCTGAGATACAGGCTTATCAGGGCCGAGGAGCGGAACGAGTGTCGGTGCTCGAGGCTGACGGCCGCCACAACACACAGCGTGCTGACGCATACCAGGGAAAAGGCGGCGAGGGAGGCATCCGAACGAAACGCCGGCAAGCAGCTCCAGAGACTCAGACTGGCGATTTCGACGCCCAGGAGCACTGCCAGGACTGCCTATTGTTTCCCCAAGGTGTAGACCGTGTGAGCAAAGGCCATGATGTAAATAAACAAGGGACTTGGGAACAACCCGGCTAGTTTGGCGTTTGATGGGTGCGCCACCATCCACTTACAAGCTTGGCCCATAACAGAAGACTGCTCGAGACATATATGGGCGATTTGAAGTAATGCAGAATATAGAACGGAGACACGACGATGCAAAGGCTCGTGGGAAGAATCGTCAGAACAGCATGCTCAAAAAGCAGAGTGAAATCAAAGTGAGACCCCAGCTGCGGCCCAAAGGAATCGTCGTCTCCGTCGACTCCCATCGCCCTCGACACGAGGTCCATGGTGCTGCTGCTGGCTGGGGCAGCTTCACTACGGAAAGGGGCGGCCAGGTGAGCTTGTAAAGGAGAAGAAGAAAAAGAAAAAGAAAACACAACAACAACAAGACAATACTACCAGATGAAATCGACAAAAGACAAGAAGACGGAGAGAGGGATGGCGCCTACATGTGTGGAATCTACAAGTATTTACCCCCGGATCTGGAAGCGGGTTGCGCACACCCCCAACTAGGCAGGTCAACGGCTCGATGCCGGCGATGGAGGAGACGGAGAGGGTTCAGACTCGTTCAGACTCCACTTACGCAGGTATACATATGCACTTTGCCGATTGAAGCGTGCCGTCTCGTTGCGAGGTAGCATTGAGGCTGGAGGTCTGGGTTTGAGCCCAGCGAGCTAACAAGCCAAAACACCCAAGGCCGGCAAGGCAGGGTCACTTGGTGCCTCGGGGATTCACAGAATCACAGGGGGGCAATGATGCAGTGTTGCAGCGTGTGGGCCATGAATGATTTTCTTCTCATTTCCGTGCTACTAAAAATCCTAATCTCGCCAGTAGAGCGTTGGCCCTACCCCATCGCGAGGTTGTACATACAGAGGTGCTAGTTTGTTGACTCAGACATGTCCTATTCCGCTACACGGACGACGATCTCGTCGACGTCCTTCTTCTCCTTCTGGCGGTAGCGGAGAATGGCGTTGATGGCGTAGTTGTTGTCGTCGGCGCTGCTTTCCGTGGCCACCTCGGCGGCTGTGCGGGTGCGTAGGTTAGATGACACGGCGTCTCTCTTTTCGCAAACAGTCAAGTTGAATGTAGATCATACCAGGTCTAGCAGAGACAACTGCGGCCCCAAAGAAGAGCAGTGCAGCTGGGATAAAGGTCGACGGGAAGAGCATTGTGACTTTGACGTTGCGGCGTGACGTGCGTCTGATACGGGACTTGTTCCTGACGGTGTAGAGTGAGGCCAAGGATATTGATGATCAAAAAGAAAGCAATGTGGGAAACTGAGGAGGCTGAATGATTTGTTTGGACATGAAAACCAGAGGACGACGCTTCTCTTATATTGTGAGCTACTCGAGCAGGATGGCATCGTACGCCGGTACTACAAACGACGCACCGACTACTTCAAGTCTGGAAGGCCCCACTCAGCCACACCATTTCCGCCCATTTGTGAGCTTTTCAATGTTGGCGAGGGATTTGGGATCTAAAACTATGGAGTATAGGGGGGTCTCGGAGGTCTTGGAAGGTCTTGGGGGGGGGGGGGGGGGGGGGGTGTTAGTGTGGAGGAACATCGGCAC